ATCACCCCTTGTGTCGCGCACTCCACCAGCCAACCGCCTTTTTCGGTTCACGGGCGTTACATTAGTAGTGTATAGAGGATTCAAATTGGGCTATTTTGAAAAGAAAACATTTGATAGGCCACTACATGAAAAAGCCCCAAGGCCTAGTTTACGAATACATATCTTTGAGATAACAAAGGAGACGTGAACAGCAAGAATACAACAGTACAAAGACAGAAAAACCTAAGAATGGTTAAAAAAAAAAATAGAGAAGTAGAATCTTCAATATTCTTCCCACAAAATTCATCTTCGTTTCAAATCTCTGGAGATAGCTTTAATGGTGGAAGGTGTTGTCCTGCAACATCCTCCTATCAGTTTAGCTCCAAGGTCGCGCCATTTCGTTGCAAACATCTCAAATTCATCGTCACCAAAGCATTGCGATGGCTGCCAAATTTTACCCATAAATCATTAGAATCCTTTCCAAAATCAGATTTACAAATCATATATTCAATTAAAACAGATAAATATCACTCTACAATCTCTTAAACCAATTCTAAATCCGCGGACTCGGTTTGACCCATATGACCAATTCAACCGGAATTCATCACTCTAGTATGGCTGACATGATTGACTCATGAGATTGATGTGTCTATGGATACGTTTTAATCTAGAAACTAGATATGAATTAAGTGAGAAAACGACATACCAGCCATTTCTTCGCTTTGCCGTCCCAAACCTCTCCGCTATTTGGGTAAACAACGATTGCCTTCTTGGTCAGCTGAAGATAGAAAATGACATATAACTAGTAAGAAACAAAGGTTGCCTAAGTCTGCGATACAATGAAACAGAGTTAAACTTTCATTTACCTTGGAGAATTCGCGAATCAGATTTTCGATGAATTGAGGAGGTGCGCAGTTTATGCCAACAGCGTAAATATTGTTGCTTTTGTTAAGAGGTTCGAGACATTCCTCAAAGCTCTCTCCTGATGGAACTTTCTCACCATCTACAGATGTAAAGCAAATCCATGCCGGAATTTGAACTTTCTCTTCCTCTAGAAGCTCAACGCACGCCTGAAGGTTTGAAATATTAAAGGACAGTGATAACAAAATATTACTAGTAAGAAGCATTTGTTTCAGTGAGCAAAAGCGAACCTGAGCTTCGAGTTTATTCGGTATGGTTTCAAAAGCAAGAAGATCCGGACCAGCTTCCACTAGGACTTGAAGTCTTCGCCTGTGAAAGTCTTTTAATTTCTCCAAACTTACGTTCTCGCCATAGTTTCCACTGCAAGAACAAAGAAACAATTACAAAAACAGAATTTTGATTTCAAAACGACTACAAATCCCCAAATCGAGATTCTTGAATCTCCCAAAGCATTACATGTATATCTTCTCAAGACCAAAATCATGTAATTATATTTGTGAAAAACAGCAACGAGAGGACAATGTGAATTGAACAATTCTTGAAATGTACCTGTATTCAGAGCCATCAGCGAGATAAGCTCCATAGCTTCCAATAGATGCAGCTACAAGAGCTCGGTTATAGCTATGTCCTGATATTTTGCTCACTTTGTCCCAGAATTTATCGCGGGCTTCAAGAGATAATTTTACGCTCTTTTGTAGCAACGACTCGCTCTCTTCCACGGATAAACCTCTTGAAAGAAACCCAGGGATAGTAGCCTGAAACACAAACCCGGTAAATGAAAATATAATTCCCAAATGAAACTCAATACATATCATAACTTTGTAATATTTACAATAAAAAGACAAACTTCAATCTGACAAATCAAATCAAGAAAACAAGTATCTTTCTAACCCTACAACTACAATCTTGAACTATTATTCCAAAAGCAGAGAGGATTAAATATGTTAAACCTTCAAAAATATCCATGAGTTACAATCAGAATGGGGTTTTTTTGAAACTGATAGATTGTGAAACAAGAAAGGGAATGAACAAAATATATAATAAAAACAAATAAAACTTTAGGTTGCTTCAAATTACCTGATAAGATGAAGTAACCACAATATCTGCACCAGCCTCCAAATATTCCATATGAACCTGCAACAAAATTCAAAAAACAAACTCAAATCCATTAAAACCCAAATCTCCAGACCAGTAATGATAAAATTTTGGAGAATCATACAAACCCAAATCTCATAACGAGGATAAAAATCAAAACTTGAAACAATAAAAAACCCTAAAAACTCCAAATTTCCATAATTTAGGGGAAAAACAGAGAGAAATGGAAAGAGAATATATTGACATTGACGAACCCTTTTGATAAGTTGAGGATCTTTGATGAGAGAAACTGCACTCCACAAAGGGTCGTTAATGGCGGCGCCGTGAATCTCCAGCTGGGTTGCGAAACCACCGTCGACCACCGCACAACCACCGCATTTCTCTATCAAATCTTCCAACATTGCCGATTTTTTCTCCAAACCCATTTTTTTTTTCTTCACTTCACTCGAAAGAAAGATTTTCAGACAAAAACAAGAAAACCCGAAACGAGAACAAAGTTTGAAAAATCTTTGTCGCGAAATCGGAAAAATCAACGCCGCTTTTGTTGTTAAAATGTTTTTGTTTTCCTTATCAAAAACCACAATGGGATGCTTCTCTTTGTCTCCCTCTCTACACTTGTACATATAATGTTTTGGATAATTGGGCTTGAGTTGGGCCCACTTATTTTTTCTCCAAAGAATAACTTTTTTTTAATTAACGCGTTTCTCTAGCCTG